GTTGCATACTTTAACATTGGGGCTTTTGATTCAACTTATTCATTATGTTTGTATTTAAGTCTTAATAAGCAAGCTTGAAAGAGGGTAAACCAAATTGAAACATTTTTTTAATTTTGGGGCCAAAATGGACAAAATCAAAGACAAGCATGCATCATAAACACAAATAACATTAAAGGGACTAATTTGATTAAATTCGAAACATGAAGGACTGATTTGATTAAGATTCAAAACATGAAGAATTGATTTGAAAAGAGTTGAAACCCATGGACTGAATTGCTTAATTACAAAAGCTTTCGGTAAAATTTGGAATAAACACAGATAATTTTAACCATGACCAACATTAAAGTTAATTAAAAGTTGAAATTAATTAATTGAGATAATTAGTCTAATTAAATAATTAACTTAACATTAATTAAAATTAATTAAAATTAATTAATCACATTTACTCATTTTTAATTAAGATAATCAAATAAATTTAATTATCTCAAATTAAATTTTAATAAATATGATTAATTTATTTTGATTAAAATTAATTAACTTCATTAATCATAAATTAAACTAACTCACCTAATTAATTAATAAAAACTTATACATATATTTTTTTTCTTTTTAACATTTTTTAGTTTTTTTTTAGGTTGGGTCGGGTCAACCCGACCCACAAAAACACAACCCATCAACTAAAACAGGCAAAAACAGATCGAACCTAAAAAAAGAGAGTAAATTTACGGTTCGTCATTTTCAAAAGAAAGAACACATTCATCATAAAAAGATCACATTCATCAACGAAAAACAAAAAGGAAAGCACATTCATCAGACAAAATGAACTGAACATTTTTTTTATCTTTCATTGATTTTCAATAAACATATACAAACGTAAACATCAGAGAAGCATGTCACGGAAACAGAAAGACAAAAGAAGCAAACACGGCGGAGCTTTTTGGGTAACAGATCGGAGTCCGATCTGACGGATCCCACCCACGAGATCAAGCCAGATCATTCCCCTCACTGCCTCCCCAAAAGACTCCTCTGTTGCAGGAAAATACCTAAGATGAAAACCCAAAAAAAATGCACAATCTTGCTCAGCTCAGTGATCCTCCCGCTGTCCTCAAGCAACACCCCAAACTCAGACCAAGAGAGAATCCAAGAGAACTTCTCCGAGAAGAAAAACCCTCCAAAAGAGAAACCCGCCACCAAAAAAAGAACCAACCCCTTTCTCTTTACCGGTCCTTCCTATTTATACCCCCTCAAACAAAACCCTAACTCCCCCTTCACTCCTCATCCAAACCCTTCAATTTTTCTTCTTTTTCCTTCCACCGTTGATCGGGTGAGGCCAAAACTGGCCCTGCAGGACAGCCAAGAAAGCTGGAGCGTGATGTCATCCTGCAGGTTTATCTCATGCTCGGTTGATTGCCACATAGGCGCAGGATCTATCTTTGCAGCTGCAGGATCTGGTTGCAGAAGAGTGGCGGCGCAGAGAAGGGGCTGCAGAAGAGAGGAAAGATTGATGGGGAAGGAGGAGGTAGGCGGAGTCGGCTGCAGCAGCAAAAGGGCGCAGGCACCAGGGGGCGTTTAATGCTGCAGGCTCGGGTGCAGTGGCAGGGGGGCGTGGGCTGCTGCAGAAGAGAGGAAAGATTGATGAGGAAAGATTGATGGGGAAGGCGAAGTTTCCAGATCCCCCTTTTTTTTTGTTTTCGTTTTTTTTCGTTTTTTTGTTGTTGGATAATTGGGTTTTAAGTTGAAATGGGTTGGTATTGGGTTGAGTTTGGGTAATTGTGGGTTTTGGGTTTTGGGTAATTTTTGGTTTTTGGGATTTTGGGTTTGGGTAGTCGGTAGGCTTTGGATTTTGGGTAATTGGGCTTTGTTTTGGGTTTGATGGGTTTTTGGGCTAGACTTTGTATTTCACCCCTCCAACTTTTAATTTCTTCAATTGAGTCCCTTCTTTCTTCTTCTGGAAATTTCCAATTTCCTTTTGCATGTAGCACCTGAAACAAAATAAAGATATATTAGTCAAAGAAAAGGGAAATTTTCATGTTTTCATATTTTTGATTTTTTCTTGTTTTTGATAAAAATTTGAGTTATGACAAAGCCCGAAAAACCGAGGAAACCCCAAGTGACTCAATTTAAAAATATTCCATTAAGTTAGTCTAAATTGAACTCAATTAATACACATTTTACTAATTAATTTGTATTAAAAATTAAAAATTTTACTTTTATTTGATCAAATTAATAGATATTACCATTAAAACTATTTAGGAAGTTGACGACATTGTTATTAAAATGAATAGCAAGTTTTACAATTTTGACATGACTAAGTTGTAATTGTAGCATAAAAATTAAGAGCTAAAGTATTGAAAAACATTCTCAAAAAAACCTTAAATTAAAAACTAAAAAATATATTAATCATACCCTATAAAGTTAAGGCCTTTAATTAAGGGCATAGAATTGAAAAACTTAGTATTGATTAATATTTTTTTTATGGAAAGTGTTGATTAATTAGTTTTACTTAATTTTAATGGGTTTTTCTATTCTGCATCCCAAAGGTGCAAATTGATAGTATAATAAATATATATTTTTCTCTTAAATTTGTGTTAACAAAATAAAAAAATTAATCTTCAAGTTATCAACAATTTAATTAAATTCATCTACTTAATAACAATGGTAAAATTAATATTAGTGTATCCTTAAAAATCTTCTAGTGGTCTCGCACGTATGAAATTTAGATACGAGCATGTAACTTACTTTGTTGAAAGTAAGAAATGAGAACTTTTTTAATGACCCTCTCATTTCTTACGGTTGACCTCCTTAATGGATGGTGGGAAGAATATTGAATTAAAATTGAAATCTGCGCCTATAGATGATTTGCAAGAGAGAGGGGATACTTTTCTGCAAAATGGGTTACGAAATTTGTCTTGGACCACTCCAAAGACTTAAACACTACTGTGACTTAAAATTAACAAATTCTAATTGAACTAAATAACTTACAATTTAAAATACCGTGGCAAGATGGGTTACTCGAATTTAGGTTGTTAGCGCTTGTCCACAAATGGTTAAATACCAATGTAGTCCCTCAACTTTTATATTTATATTAAAATTGTCCTTTAACTTTAAA